TCTTTAAAAAATTAATAGTTAACTCATATGCATAATGAGTTAAATCTCTATCTTCAAAGATAACTTATTATTATTGTATAAAAGGTTATAAAACTCTTTAGTTTTCATTATTCTGTGATTTTTTAAGAGTCATTTTGACTTAGGTTCGTTTTGTTTGTTTGCTTTCATCTCTCCTTGTTCCAGAAAACATTTAAGGTAATTTCAGCACCTCTTCTTCCAAGTGAGTATAATGGAGGAAAGCAAACCTCTGAAATTCAAACTACATAGTTTTTTAGTTTTTTGTTTTTTAATTTTTTTTTTTTTACATAAGACCTTTGCTTTATGAACAATAGGTAAATTTTAACAAACTGAGGAATAGCACTATAAAGATTTCTATTGGAACATAAAGAAGCCCTTTAGAACGTGAGTAGTGACTCCCCTTTTATTTCGTCATAAGTATGCATTTTTCAAAAGCATGTTCATAAACCTACCAATCAGTGTTCTCTTTGAGGGTAGAGCTCTGGTCTTATTGCTCAATATTCCCTCAGTGTCTAGAACTGTTCCTGGTCCATTGTATTTGCTAGGTAGATGCTCGTGGAGTTTAAATGAATCAAATCAAATCAATTCCAAATATTCTTATACTGTCATGATAGGTGGAGTTATGATTTTAAATTGCTTTGAAATAAGAAGCAGTAGTGGTTAAGACCTTTGGTTCTGCTCCCTCTTGCTGATTTTCAAAGCCCTGTAAAGATGAAGTGAGAGAACCTTGGTGTAAGTCTTAGCATGGTACTTGAGCCCACATAATAACTGCCAAATGGATGCTAGATTTTAGTGATCTGTGCTATTTTTTACTATACATATTTTTTCTTCTAAATAAGAACTTATTTTTCCTGAAGACTTTCAGTTAGATTGTTCCATAACAGGTATAAGCTATTTATTTAGGGATTGTATGTAAAATATCTTAAAGACTTTGTAGGTAGAATAAAACATACTGTACAACAAAGTTACATATAATTATTATTTTACATAGTATATATCAGCCTAACAGTTTAATGTCTCATTCATTCATAATGTTTAATGGGAATGTATTTGAAAATAAAGAGTGCTATAGAGCCATAAATGTAATTTATAATTCTTGCCATAGCACTTTTACTTCTAAGTCTCTCAAGGATTCAACAGGTATAAAATGGACCCTTTTGATGAATGAGCAATTTGGGGCAGCAACTAATGAAACCAGACTTTTTTCCTGCATGTGGAAGCTGTGCGAGAATGCCCAGATCATTGCTGCTAATCTACCTTGCATCTGCTTGACAGCATCTCAGGGAATTGTGTCAGCCACATCAAGCCAGGCACATAAACAAGTCCAGTACTGTGAAATTAGCATGTGGGCTCTGAACAATGGAATTCTCTGGTCAGTGCTGTCCCACACGGACAATGTGAGTCACATATCAACTTTATGTTTTCTGTTATCCATATTAATAAGTAAAAAGAAACAGGTGGAATTAATGTTATTAAACCATATTTGGTAATATTTATTAATATATTTATTTATATTTATTACTATTATTTAACTCAAAATATTAAAAATATCATTTCAACATGCAATCAATATATAAAGTATTAATGAGACATTTTACATTCTGTTTTTCATTTCCAGTCTTAGAAATTTGGTGTATATTTCACACTCACAGCACATCTCAGTTGGGACTGGCCACATTTCACATGCTCAATATCAGAATGTGGTTAGTGGCTATCATATTGAACAGTGCAGCTATAGTCATTCCTGCTTTGCCACCATTGGAGGTGCCAGAGGGTGGCAATGTGGTGTAGAGGAAAGACAAAGACCAGCCCAGAATCTTAGACTATGACTGTTCCTGACTCAAAAAAATGATTTAGTTTCTTTCACTGGGTCTCAAATTCCTACTCTTTATAATGCGGGTTGTTAATAACTGCCATACTCTTTTCAGGAAGCTGTGGGGAAGATTAAATAAGATATTGTATGTGAAAGTGCTCTGTTAGATCATAAAACACCACACACATGTAAGGCATTATTAGCTCTTTTATTGTAGATTTACTCTCATGACTTGCCCAAGGCCACATTCCAAGTTGGTAGGAGAATGAAGGATAGAATCTGGGGCTCCTGACTTCCAGCCATCTGCTTCAGCTAAAGGCTGTTCATACCAAGCTAGTTTTAAAATTTCTTTTTATTTTTAAAAGTCTTTTTATTTTAAAAAGTTGAGGAAGGAAGACAGTGGCAGTAAGAAGTAAATTCCATATTGAACAGTAAGGGTCTTCTTGGCCACAGTCATAATGTTCTGCAGTAAAATTATACATAGAGAATATTTATATACTTATATACTCAGAATTACAGCCATCAAAAACTGGAGTTTATTGCTGTCATATAATATAAAACCCCATGTTCTTCAAAGTTTCAAACAACTTTTAAAATGAACTGTGGTTTCCCCACTCTATTTATTTCCAAAGTATAGTACAACCACAAGAAAGCCCTTCCGTAGTGGGCTTGATTAATAAAACAGATATGGATCAATTCAACAGGTTTTCCATGGATATTTTTGGTTACAGATGTAGCTCATTAATTCCCATGTGTGGGACACCACCTCTCTAGTGTAAATCCAAGAGACACGTTAACATCTGAAGAGAAAATGGGAATAATTCAGTTCAACCCATATTATTTAGTACATACTATGTGTAAGGCACATTAGGTATCTTAATGAGCAAAAAGCTTGTTTTTATGATTATTGTCACTTAGAGGTATATGTTATTTAACTTGAGGAAAATATAGAATCTGTCTACCAAAATATCTATGTTCTGTGATTCAGGAATCTATATTTTTGGAGGGTAAAAGGGTCAGAAAGAAAACTCCAGATTATTAAAAAATAATTTAAAAAGTTACATTCTGTGCTTTTGGAGGGCATGCAAAAGATTAGTTATCATGATCTATTTCCATTTTCTTAATTGTATGCCTATAATGGTGTTCATATTTAAACTTTTTCGATCATTATCTACCTTTGTTTCAAATACACTTCTCCACAGAACTTAATAAACTACATAAAACATTAAGAGTTTTATACTATGTCAAGTTAAACCAAGTCCATTTTCATTGAGAAAAAGGGGTACATTCAAAAAATTCTTTGTATTTTTTCAATCGAAATTTATTTTAAAAATACTTTCAGCTGGTTATTTTCACTCAAAAACTTATAATTTGTAAGCTTCAGGCCTGCCTGAATTCATGACCATGTTGAATAAATGTAATTTTTATTTTTACTTGCTGAATCATTGCTGTTGACCATTGAATGAAATAGTTTATTGAATAGCTTTTACATTTTATTGCCTTTGCACCCTAGTTTAAAAACAAAGAGCTTAATTTCTTAAAAGTTCAATAAAATATATTTTTGATATTTCCACCCGAACTTTACAAGCAATTTCTCTCCTCTGCCCTTTAATAAACACCTTCTGTATTTTTATGATTTAGTTTAACATTATTATTATACTTTTTTTACTGGGAGAGCTCATCAATGCCCTTGGCAGTAAGATTTTGTTACAAGAAAGCCAGAAGCCGAGCCTGTCATTGGTTGTAACAATTATAAAGTACCTCTGGGTTGAGTTCAGAGCTTTACTCTGACATTATGACTGTTACCCACATCATGCCTCTTTCCCCAGTTTTTCTAATATCCACAAGTCCTACAATCTGCTGCTTCGATGAGCATGTATTTTTTATTCACTGGGTTTGCATTATAAAGATTTCATTTGGAGAACACCTGGCTTTGATGGAATCCAGCCAAAATAATTAGTGGTACCTATATTAAAAATGTAATGCCTTAGTAAAATCATTAATGTATTTGCATTTCTCCAGAAACTCTAAATGGATTCATTCTAGACAGGATGCAGTCAATGAGGGATTAACGATAAGGCTAAATGCTGTACTTTTCCTTTTGTTCAGGTATCCACCCCGCCCCAACAAGAACACGAAAAATCTGGGGAATCTTAGCAATTCGTTCTTTTAATTATGAAATAAAATTAAATAGACTATAAAAACCATTGTACTATTATATATTAGGAAATATTGAGTCGTGTGTCCAAAAGTCACACTTAAGACCAGGCAATAGTAATAAGCATAGGATGGCTGTGGATACTATGAGATAATGTCTACTTGTCAGAAATGGATGGTATGTTGTGTTTTTTTTTTTCCGTCAAAGTTTGAAAGTTAATGAGGTACTTTATGTTTTTATTGCTTCTACTGAGAGATCAATTAAGGAATAAAAGGGATTCTGGCGTGCTGTTATTATTATTTTTCACTGTGAGTATATTCAATACCACATACAAAGAAAGCCATTTCTGTCATATCATGCTCTGTTTCATTCATCCTAGATTGTTTTTAGGAAAATTTAGTACATATCACTTCAGTCATCTGAAAAGAATCATTTCTTCATTACAGCTCATAACTTAAAACTATAAAATATCAGCCAGAAAAAAAAATTGGCCCAATTAAGAGAAATATGATAATGGTAGAAAAACACATATAGACATGACAGAGATGATAAGATTATTTTAATTTTCCCATTTGCACTGGAATTATTTATGTTACAAATCTCCAGATCTTTTATTACTTAAAATCCTCTGCTGAATCATGAAAAGAAGCTTAAGTTAGCAATTTTCCTCTGCAAAATCTAACTCCTAGCATCTGGTGAACATTTGGATACCTAGTCAAGATCTATGGAAATGATTATTTTAAGACTGTATTCAACATGCCTAGACTTAAAAATCAGCTAGGATCACACTCTGCACATGTATTTTACTATAGGGGATTTGAAAACCTAATATTAGTAGCGATGGTCTCAAGGCTTTTGCAACGATGGAAATGGGGATGGGAGACAGGACATGCAGGCAGGCTAGACACTGAGCATCTGCCAGGGGCCCTTGTGCTCCTGGACAGCGATCTGCATCTTTACCTGTGGACCACCCAGACCACTGCCCTGCCCTCTGTTGCTCCTCACACTTACATTTATACTTGACAGGACTGTTGAATCAAAGACCAATGTCCTTGCTGGTGCCTTCCTCTAACACCCCTGGGACTGGTTTCTGTCTCTTCAGCAGATGCTGCTCAGTTTCCACAGCAACTTCTAAAGTAGAAAAAAGAGGATACTTTTACTCAGGGCAATTAGAAGTGGATTATCAAAGTGTATTATTCTGGATCATACGAGAAATTGCATAATAGGAATGTATAAATATGTAAAATGCTATTAGTTTATTTTTCTGCATATGCTATATGTAGTTTTTATCCAAATAAACAACAAATTGCATATCTTTATTGCTTTTCATGGTTGTATTATGTGATAAGTTCTCACCAGTTTAATTTCCATTAATACAGATTGGAGATAATTAGAAAGAATTTGGGCATTTGCCATAGAGAATGCAAATTTATGAAGAAATATTAATAATACCTCAGGGAAAAAAGTTAATTTTATTTAAGAAAAATGAACTTTTTAAACAATACATTTCCTATCAATTTACATATGGCAGTATTTGAGTTATAAATTATTCTTGATTATTTATCAAATCAGGTGTGATGGGGCTTTAATATGGTGACACTTTTATGTTTTCATTTGAATTTTTGGCACAATTTAACTAGTCGAATAAACTTTGTAAGTTATCTATAACCTAGACTCTTTAGAAATCACATGGGACTTGTCTCCAATTAAAATGAATTTCAGAAATTTAACTCTGTTTTGGGTAATAGATACTCTCTATTTTGTTTTCGTGTGTTTCACAGGAACTTGTTTAAGAAATATCTACATTTGCTGTTCAACAAATATTTTAACAGGAACAACTTCAGTCATTCAGATAAATACATCAGTTTGAAAGCCAGCATTTCTTATAAGCGCAGAATTGGATATCAAATTTAGTAGGTTTGAAATGTGATTTAAGTGGTATATTCTAGAGTAGTACTGTCCAATAAAACTTTCTGTAATTATGAAAATTTTTCATCTTTACACTATTCAGTATGGTAGCTACCAGTCATGTGTGGCTACTGAGCACTTGAAATATGGCTAGTGTGATGGAGGAAATTAATTTTTAGTTTTACTTAATTTTAATTAATTTGAGTTAATTAAGCTACCTGTGGATAGTGACTCTAGTATTAGAGAGTATAGTTCTAGAATTTCTGTGTATTTAGCACTCAACACAAAATGAAGAACTACTTGAATGTCTTCTATCTGCAAAATGACTCTAAAAAAGCAGTAATGTTCCTAAAGCACAAGGCCCAGCCTCTGACATGTGGCTTTCCCTACAGAGGCTACACAATGTGTGTTCAGGCCCGAAGGATGGGTACAGCAGCATCCTGCACTTTGGCTCAACTTGTGGATATTTAGACATAAACTTTGATTTAGCCATAGGTGATTCGAGAACCTTTGCCTCTGGAAAGCCATGGGATTTCAAATTATCTTTAGCAATAAAGTTTGGTGATAGTAAATGGACTCAAGAGCTTGACTTTCCAGTTCACTCTCATGTAGTATGACTTCTTGCAGAAGACTGGCAGGAAATACAGACATATATGAAAGGAGATATACCACACACGTAGTTGCCTCCATGAAAAAAACTCTCCAGATTCAGACTGGATATCAGGAAGAGGCTTATAAGTAATTTTTGTGCCTCTTTTATATCATTCTTCAATACATATTTATTGAGTATGTACTATGTGCAAAGTATAATGCTTAGTGTTGGAGATACAATGTTGAAGAAATAAATTAGATACCGCCCTTCCCTCATGCTGCTGAACTGCATTAGACAATAAGATTTTTTTCATTTTTTCTTCTTCTTCTAAAAATTAATTTTTTTCTTTCTGGTTATGGTGAAAATAAAACAAGAAGAAGATACATAGCATAATACAAACACTGAAGATCACTGTTATGTATATGTCATGTATCTTATTCAGTTTACCTCTCTCTGAACAACTTTCCCAGACCCGCACCTTGGTAGCTGATGAAACTACTTTTTGAAATGCAATAGTGGAAGCAGAGAAAAAACACTGAAGACACCTCAATTGCCATTTTTCGACCCTCAGACTAAGGGCCATTTAACACTGAGTGTTTACCACATATTATTTAAAGAGGCTCTTTTCTCTCTATGATGCAGAAGAATGTCCTTTAAAATAATTGCTAATTAAAAGACATTTTTGTTGCTGTTAATGTGATGACACTTTTTTACTTTGTTATTCATAACACTGTGAGAAAGAGTGCTACAACTACTGTTTATGAAATTAATCAAATTATTCAATATTCAAGCACCATTGTAGGAGCTAAAGGGAACCGTTAGCTACACAGGCAATCTGTAGCTCATTGTATTTCAGTTAATTTTTGAAGAATGAGCCACAAATTTGGCACAGTACTAAGCAAGAATTATTTAGTTAGATTTGTTTTTTCTTCTCCACACAGCAGCCGCATAATTAAATATATGGTCTGACCTGCATTTATAAAGTGAATTTTCAAATACGTCACTGATGGAAATCTAAGGATGAAAAGAATTAAGAATTAAATTAAATTAATGCAACTACAATACTTAGTATTTAAAGTATTTTAAGACCAAAAAGTAATTGTTCTAAATATATTAATTGGTAATATCCTCGAGGTTGTAGATAGACGCTTAAAAATAATTTTTAAAAATGAATTATGAAGCAATGAAAGAAACCAAAAGATAGATAAACATACATAAATACTTAAAAACCAGTTGCAGGTGAAATTTTCGTGAACAAAATTAAAAGGTGAAGGGGAGTTTGCTTTATTCCTTAAAAATGTTATACCTTATGGAGGTTTTAAAACATAGCCAGATTCTTTGATTCTCCTGTGTTCTCTCCCATTGAATCTGGGAGAGCTTATGAACTGACCAATTGAGCACAGTGGAGCAGGCATTATGTAACTTCTGCAGCAGAATCACAAAAGGCCATGAGGCTGACCTTGATTGCTGGAACATTGTCTTTTGGAGCCCTGAGTCTCCAAGTGAGAAGTCTGACTACCTAGAGACCACCACGCAAGAGAAGCCACATGTAGGCACTCCTGTTGACAATGCCAGCAAATCTCAGTCTTCCTTTTATCACTGCCAGGGTACTAAATATGTGAGCAAAACCATGTTGGGCCCTTCAGTCAACCAGTTGCCAGATGAGTAAGTCGTAAGAGCAGAAAAGCTTCTAGACCTACCTCAATTCCTGACTTCTAAAATTGTGATATAAAATGTTTATTGTTTTATGCTGCTAAACTCTGATTTTTATTATGCAGCAAAGATAGCAGGAGCATACCCTCTTATATTTATGATATTTTTACAACAGAAAGTTGGAAAACTGAATGTGGAATACACTCTGGGAAAAGTTGTTTGCAAGAATTAAAAGGCAGTCTTAGTATCTTTCCAATAGAAAGAGCTCCTACAAATCACCAAGAAAAAAATACTCACACCATATAGGAAAATAGGCAATTAAATTTACAAAAGAAGATAATAAAAAGCTAATAAATATGTTAGAAAGCCTTCAATCTCATTAGTAATGAAAGGAAATGCAAATTAATCTATGAAATTAACCTTTCAGTTATCAAATCAGCCAAGATGAAAATATATTTAATGTTGGTTGGGCTAAGTGAGCGTATAAATGGCACAGACTTACTGGAAAATAAATTGACATTATATACCCAGAGTTTTAAAAATATTTATATTCTTTGATGCTTCTAGGAATTCAGATAAAGAAGTAATCAGAAATAAGGTAAAATAATACAGAAAATGTTTATACAGTTCTATTTATAGGAATAAAAGTATAGAAACAAGCTAAAAATCAATACAGTTAAGTTATGTATTTTATATTATAGAATATTGTTTTATTATTTAGAATGGAATTTTCAATATTTTTCCTTTGTTAATTCTGATCTGGGCACACCATAGCAGAACAGAAAAATCTTAGTATGGACACATAGACTGAGCTTTGAATCCTAGATTTGCCATTTACTTTTCCTGGTGATATGGTTTGGCCTCACCCAAATCTCATCTTGAATTGTAGTTCCCATAATCCCCACATGTTATGGGAGGGACCCAGTGGGAAGTAAGTGAATCATGGGGGCGGTTACCCTCATGCTGTTTTCGTGACAGTGAGTGAGTTCTCACAGGATCTAATGGTTTTGTAAGAGACTTCTCCCTGCTTCACTTATATTTTTCCCTGCTGCCACCATGTGAAGAAAGACATGTTTGCTTCCCCTTCTGCCATGATTGTAAGTTTTCTGAGGCCTCCCCACCCATGCTGAACTGTGAGTCAATTAAACCTCTTTCCTTTATAAATTACCCAGCCTCGGGTATGTCTTATTAGCAGTGTGAGAACAGACTAATACAGTAAGTTGGTACTGGTACTGGGGTGCTGCTATGAAGATACCCTAAAATGTGGAAGTGACTTTGGAATTGGGAAACAGGCAGAGGTGGGAACAGTCTGGAGGGCTCAGAAGACAGGAAAATGTGGGAAAGCTTGGAACTTCCTAGAGACTTGCTGAGCAGCTTTGACCAAAATGCTGATAGTGATATGGATAATGAAGTCCAGGCTGAGGTGGTCTCAGATGGAGATCAGGAACTTTTTGGAAACTGTAATAAAGGTCACTCTTGCTATGTTTCAGCAAAGAGACTGGCACATTTTGCCCCTGCCCTAGAGATCTGTGGAAATTTGAACTTGAGAGAGATGATTTAGGGTTTCTGGTGGAAGAAATTTCTAAGTGGCAAAGTGTTCAAGAGGAAGCAGATCATAAAAGTTTGGAAAATTTGCAGCTTGATGATGCAATAGAAAAGAAAAACCAAATTTTCTGGGGAGAAATTCAAGCCTGCTGCAGAAATTTGCATAAGTAATGAGGAGCCAGATGTTAATACCAAGACAATGGAGAAAATATCTCCAGAGTATGTCAGAGACCTTCATGGCAGCCTCTCCCATCACAGGCCCAGAGGTCTAGGAAGAAAAAATGGTTTTGTGGGCTGGCTGTGTGCATCCTAGGGACTTGCTGCCCTGTGTTCCAGCCTCTCCAGCTGTGGCTGAAAGGGACCAAGGTACAGCTTGGTCCGTGACTTCAGAGGGTGCAAACCCCAAACTTTGGCAGCTTCCATGTGGTGTTGA